AAGACTGTCCTTCATTTCTCATTAAAGTGCCTGTTGGAAACTTGTCTGCCTTAGTAGCTATGTAACCATGGACAAGTCATTTAATCCTTGATACCTCAGTTTCCTTATTTAGAAAATGGGCTTAATAATAGAGTTAAATTTTGGAGTAAGTAGGTTAGCATATGGGACTTGGAACATGTTCAACAGATCTTAGCATTATTGTGATTGTTCCTTCCACTAAAATTGCTGCTATACATCAGGATTCTCTCCATATTGTGGACTTTCCTGAAACTGAAGTTCAATTAGTAACATCTTTAATTTAAAAACACAAGTAGCAAACTTTGTCTTGCATGTAATTTAATTCTAAAACTTCAAGACTATTCTATAGGTAGACTAAACATAATGCATTTTTATTCTTCCATTTTCATTTTTGGAGGCACCAGAGAAGATGGGTTTATTTGGACTGAATGCAAAGTAATCATCATCAATATGGTGCAGCATTTTCTCTCCACTCATTCTGTACTCATCTCTTTTCAGTTCCAAATACCATTTGCATGGACCTGATGATGTTGAGTACGGATATTGCAGAGGAGTGATAACTTCCCTTTCCTATTGAAGCTGAAGCTTCAAAGAGAAGATTAAAGAAGTGTTTGTTATCTATCTGCACAGGCCTGATATGAAATTCTCAGAGGCATTTAGAATAAACACAACTCTGTATGTGTGCATTTATATGCTTTTTCTTTTGTGGTCTTTGCATTTTGGTTTGAATTTTTTACTTCAGACTTGTTGGACTCTCTGACTAGAGGAGAATTATTTTCAGAGTGAAAGGTAAGAATTGGAAGATGTTGGCAGAATTTAACTAAATGCTTCCTGAAGCACATAGAACTCTCTGGTGTGGCATCATCTTTACAGGGAATCTGATGAAGACCAGCCACGGGATATGTTTAACAAGACGAGATCAAGTTCTTGAAGGTGTCTAGCAGAGAATAATCTGTGGTTCCCTTTATTGAGGGATTAAATTGCTCACCTTCAGTACTTTCCTTTCAGAAGTGTCCTCTATGAGCTGTGGGATAGAAGTGTGGTTTTGCTATTGTTGTTATTATTTTTGCATGCAAACTTCCTTTAGGGACATAGCATTAATTAATATTTAGAGTAATAAAAGAAGGAGAAGAAGTAGGATAAGAAAATAGATTTATATCTTCTGAAAAAGAAGGTGTTTCTGGGTGTGGTGGTGCACACCTGGAATCCAATGACTCTGGAAGCTGAGACAGAAGGATTATAAGTTTGAGGCCAGTCTCAGCAACTTAGCAAGATCTCAAGCAACTTAGTGAGATGATGTCTCAAAATTTAAAAAATAATAATAAAAAGAACTGAGGTTGTGGCTGAGTGGTCAAGTGCTTCTAGGTTGTTCCCCAGTACCAAACACAAATAAATAACCCAAAGTAGCTAACATTCATTCTACTTTATGCTGCTCCACTTCAAGTCACATCAAGTTCAACATGTTACTTTTATTATTTTATTTTTTATTATCAGTAAAAGTGAAAGAACGAACAAGGGTTGTCATTGGAGCAAATGCCTGGTTATTGAGGAAAGGCTCTGCATATTTATAGAGCCAGGGGTGGTTTGACAGTTGGCATGGGATGCTTTTTGATTGGAGGGTAAGGATCAGGTGAGCCAGCAGGGCTCTGATTGGTGGGTAAGGATCATGTGAGCCAGCAGGGCTCTAAATGGTGAGTAAGGATCATGTGAGCCAGCAGGGCTCACCATTGGACTGCTCTTCTTTGGGAATGGGGAAGTTAGTCTTTGGAGCTGGGGCAACTCCCAACATTTATATACATTTAAATGTACAGTGTGATGTTTTGATATACATATGCATTGAGAAATGATGACCACAAATTAATGAATATATCCATCACCTCACAAAGTTACTTTTTTTTGGTGTGCGAATGCTTAAGATCAACTCTTTGCAAATTTCAAGTACACAATACAGTATTATTAGTGATAGCATGTGATATGTTAGACATTCAGAACTTTTTCATCTTTCAGCTGAAAGTTTGGAAGAAATATTTAATTACAACATTATCAGAAATAAAACAGGGCTGGGGATGTGGCTCAAGCGGTAGCGCGCTCGCCTGGCATGCGTGTGGCCCCAGTTTGAACCTCAGCACCACATACAAACAAAGATGTTGTGTCCGCCGATAACTAAAAAATAAATATTAAAAAAAAATTCTCTCTCTCTCTCTCTCTCTTTAAAAAAAAAGAAATAAAACAGATTCTGCTATTTAATATCAATTATATAGACTTGCTACCTTTTTTTTTTAATACTGTTAAATTGAGTTCTTTCTTTGTAACCAACCTCCTTAAGATAAAGCTTATTGGCAGAAGCAGTACTCTTGGTATATGGGAATCTATAGTGTCGTCTTTCTTCTGGGCTAAAAAAAGGAACCAAGAAATGAAGGCATTGTACAGAAGGGAACCAAAAATCTGTTTTAGTTGAAGTAGTGATTTTGGTAGGTAAGAGAAGCACAAAAAAAGGCTGAAATTATCAATAACATATTTTGATTATTTAACAATTTGCCTACAGTTGGCATGTTAGCTGCCACTTCAAGTTAAGTCCCCCCATCCCGCAGGTTCATAAGTGAGAATAATACTGGTTAGAAAAGTTCCTGCTGTTGCCATCATTAATGTTTTGGAAAGAGGAGTGTGTGTGTGTGTGTGTGCGCACACACACACACACACACACACATGCACATGTATGTGCTCATACCCTCAATTTTATTTACATTGAATTAGAAGTTGGCTAATGATAGGAAATGAGGGCCAGGACAATGCCTCAAGGGAAGAAGGAAAATATAGAAGATGGAGAATTGTTTATTGTCTGTTGACTTGCTGAAGTAGTTGTGTTTGACAGAAAGGAGTTTTGTATAGTGGGAATCTACACTGTCTGCGAGGTGGAGATAGACCCCTCTTACTATTATACATAACTTACTTATGTTTTGGCCAGTTCTAATTTACATATGCTCTAACATTGATAGGTAAACCCCTTCTTCCTAGCTGTGGAAGCTTTCCATTTCCCAGCTCTATCTCCACTCCTTCCGTCCCCTAGTTCCACTACAAAACTGTGCTGGCCTTTCCCTGCCCTCTAATCCAGGTCATCTTACATTTTCCTTCACCTGATTGTCAGCCCAGAAATGTTCTGGGAAAGGAGAGGATCAAGGAAACAAAACCATCAGGTTTCTTTTCCACTGTCTCTACCGCATCTCTATTAATTTCCCCCAAATTAACCTCTGGATTCTAGCCACAGCCTCTGCAGTGACCTCTTTCCTCTCCATTTTCTAAAGTTTTATTTTACACAGTAAAGAAATAACCTAAATACTCACTGGACTGATGCTCCTCTCTAATGTGGTCTAATGTGGCCAAATCTAATTTCAGCCATGTAGGTACCGGAAGACACACCATTATGACCTGAGTATGGCCTTTTTCTGAACCTCCTGTGGGTTATGGACCCTTTAAAAATTTGATAAAATTCTTAAAACTGTGGAATTTATCCTCAGGGAAACAAAAAAGCTCATATATGTGTTCTGAGAGGCCAAGATGAAGATAGAAAAATATCCATTCTATTTAGTAGCACAGAGGTCTTATGTACATAGCAAGAATTGAGTCGCAATGACTGTGAGCCTCGTTAGAGTAAGTTCAGGAGTGAGTGGGAGGTGAAGGAATAAAGACAAGCCAGTAGAGAGGATGCTTTTGAATGTTCACTGTGTCATGAAGGAAGATGGGGTGGCAGTTGGAGGAATGTGAAGAGGGTGAGGGAGGGTTTGTTTTATTTGGATATGGGCATAAATTGCTGATGGAAAGGACCAAGTTGAGAGGAAGAGGTTGAATATGCACAAAAGAAAAACCAATACAGAATAATGTAAGGTTCCTGTGAAGGTGGGAGAAAATGGGATCCAAAGTACAATGGACTTTTGGGGGTTACCATCACACACAGCATTGTTTTGGTGAGGAAAAAAATGCAAGTCAGGTTCCAAAAAAAGGGACTTACAAATGATCCTTTCTACTGCTCCTGTTTTGTTAGTGGAAGACTTCAAGGATTTTCAATATTGCCAGTCGTTTCACAAAACATAACAGAGGAGAGAGAATGGACTCCAAGGGCACCATTCTTGGTTCATACACTAAAATATTAGATAACTCTGGGTCAACTGTTCATATTTCATCTGTAAAGAATTTAGATGTAAGAGGCATTTAAGGATGTGGTGGTGGTTGGGGTGGGTTTGGTTGTCGTAACAACTGGAAGTGGCACCTGTTATTTGCTGTCCAGGACCAGTGATGCTATTGTTCAGGATGTCTCAGCAAAGAACCTTCCTGCTCAAGGTTCATGGTATCCTATGAGAAACTGTGAGCCACTGTTAGCTTCCTTCCTAGAATCTTTCTAGCTCTAAAATCCTAACAGTCTAGGAGTTGCATGGCATTAATGCAGCGTTTAAGCCCTTAGAATCTTTCAAATCTCAGGGACGACTCTTCTGTTTTTCTCAGACAAAACTAGGCTTTGGCTAGCCATCAATTCCTTATTTTCATTGGTGCATGTTAATTATACAGAATGGTGAGTTTCACTGTGGTTTATGGCATATTGATACATGCATGTAACATCATTTCATCAATTTCAATCCCCAGTTCCTCCCCTTACTCTCCCCTACTCTCTCCCCTGATCTTTTTCTTGTACCCTGTTGGTCTTTCTTTCACTTTTGTGACATCCTTTTATATTTTATATACATATACATCCCTGCCCCCCATTTTTTCCCTATTAGCTTCCACATATGAAAGAAAATATCTAGTACTTACCTTTCTTACTCTGGCTTATTTTGCTTAACATGATGCAAATCTATTTTCACCCATTTTCCTGCAAATAGTAACCAAGTATCTAGCAAGGTTTTTGGATTACAAATTATTGCTACTGTGTGTCAACCAAAATTGAGAAATATAAGTTTAACTTATCTCCATTTTTTCTTTTTATATTTCAGGTACTGTTGGGATTTTCAGCCCCAAGGTGAGTACTCTGTGACCATGAATTATTTTATACTAAAAATGTGTACGTGGTATTGTTTATTTCTATCTCTTGTATCTATGCTTCTTCAGGGAGTGGTACTAGCCATTTCTGAGGAAAGTTAGTGGAGTGTTTAATTAACCTTCATCCTGCTGGGCCCCCCTGCCCTGCTTTTTAGCAACAAGAGGCTCTGTGCTTCCGCCTTCTGAGTGGATGGTTGCTAGATTATTTTATAGATCTGAAGCTATAATATGCTTTTTTCTCTTAAGCTTTGTTAGATACCAACAGGATCCAGTAGCATTCAAGTAAAATGGTAGCCGAGTCCATAATAAAAACCTTGGGTGGGTTCCAACTCGGCTAATCCTTCATTTGCTCCAGAAATAAATTCCACCATGTTTCATCCTTGATCACAGTGCCCTTCCACATAGTCTGTCTGGCAGCAGAGAAATGTCAGGAATGGAGCAGCGTTGAAATTCCCACTAGAACAGTGTTATCACATTTTAATATGAGTCTCACTGCAGCCTTGGTGCTTCTAATTGCTTTCAAACCATTGTTTTCCTGCTTTTGCTTGATGAACCCAGCATCTGGCATGATTCTAAAAAGTACAACAGACAGCTGTGTGCAAAATTTGAAAAAAAAAAAAAAAAAAGGCCAGGATTAAAACACATTTTTAAAAGGTTTAAAATTAGAATATATATATTTTTAACCCAAACAGTTTGAAGACATTTCTAAAGTACTATAACCATTCCTTCTTTGTGTTAATCTGGTTGTAAATGTCAGAAACATCATCGTGAATATTAATTATCTAAAATTATTATAAATGGAGGGTTTCCCCCCCTCAGAGAATCACAAGAGTTTTAGACCAAACATGAAAATTGTTTGACGAACTGTTTTGCTCTATAACTTTTTAAAACCAATTGTAAACTTTTTTGTACTTTTTATTTTCTTAATGTTTTCAAATGAATCCAATCTTGGTGAGTAGTAATATATTAAAGAAATTAAAATGGCAAGTGAGGACACTAGTTTTATTAAACTTTTTATTTTCTAGCTCATATTTTGTTCAAGTCTACATAAGGGTTTCTTTAAAAACCAATTTTAAGAAAATAAAAATCATGTATGTTTAAAGCCTTCTTCATACTCTTTGTAATAATGCGATGTGGTGTTATTATATACCTCAGTATTCCAAAGCATTTATAGCTGAGAACATAGATCCAGCAATAGAGAATTATATGTAATAATGTAGCAGTTTGCATTGCAAAATGTGAAATGCACTATTCAGAGAATGGTCCTATAGTTCAGGGTTTAACAGATGTTAACCAAAATCCACAGGGGGCAGAACATGATTGTGAACTGGCAGAAATGAATGGAACTGTGAGGATAAAATTAATTACCAAAGGAGAAATAAAGAATCAGTGTCAGAGATGTGGTATAGTAATGTGTTGAGAAGAGAAAATAATTTTGGAGCTCTACATAAGAGAGTCTATGGGACTAAAAAGACAAAGGGCACACCTTACCAGGTTCTTGTCATGGTGGCACTGCAGTCATCTTCCAACACAGGGCCACTTCTACACACTCTTTCTCTCTTAAAAAGAGGGTATGGTAGAGCAGCCAAGGGGACAATCGAAAATAGTTTATTTAGGACAGAAAGCTATTTGTTCCTTGACACTGATTGAATATATGGAGCAAAATCTTTGTTCATCTAGAAGTCAATGTAAAGAAAGATCAAGCAGAAAATCCCATATTCTTACATATATGATGTTGTGATGAGAAAAAGAAAAAAAAAGTGTGTCACATTAGATTGGATAGAGAGAAAGGATGGGAGAGGAGGGGAGTAGTAGGGAGGATAGGAAGGGCAGCATAATAGAATAGACAATATGATTGATGTATGTACATTTCATATATGTATTATATGTCAAAATACATTCTGCTGTCATGTATGACTGAAAAAAAAAATAAAAATAATTCGTATGGTTAAAAAATAAAGAAAGAAAGAAAGAAAATCCCATATTCTTGACCCTAGCTTTCCTCCTTCAATGGCCTTTTTTTTTGGTGGGCGGGTGGGGGGAGGGGGTGCTAAGAGAAAGGAGTATCTCCTACCTTGCCATTTAAAAATATATTTTTTTAAGTTGGCATATCATACTTACACCAAAAAGTGGAATTCATTGCAACATGTTCACACGTGCATCTGACATGGTTCAGTTACTGTCATTCTGCTTTTCCTCTCCTTTCCCCTCCTTCCTCCCTCTCCCTTGTTCCCTTCCTTTACTCCACTGTTCTTCTCTCTTCTGCTTTCAAAATATCTGTGCCTCCTCTCCCACCTTTTTAAACTCCTTACTTCTCTCTAGTTCCACATAGGGGAGAAAACATTCAACCCTTGACTTTCTATGTCTGGTTTATTTCACTTAGCATGATATTCTTTAGTTCCATCCATTTACCCGCAAATAACATAATTTAATTCTAAGTAAAACTCCATTGTGTATGTATACCACATTTTCTTTATCCAGTTATTCATTGAGAGATAGGCTGGATCAGTAACTTGGCTATTATGAATTGTGCTGCTATATACATTGGTATGCATTTATCACTATAATATGCTGATTTTAGTTCTTTTGGACAAATACCAAGGAGTGGGATATGGTGGGTCCTTTCCAGTCTTTTGAGGAATCTCCATTATTGTTTTCCAAAGTGATTGTATTATTTTGCAGTCATACCAACAATGTGTGAGTGAGTGTATCTTTTCCCCCACATCCTCATCAGCATTTTTTATTACTTGTATTTCCTAAATTTAACTGGAGTGAGATGAAATCAGTGTAGCTTTGACTTGAATTTCCCTGTTTTGATCACCTCTTAGCTGATAATGTGTTTCAGAAACAGGTAGGCTGAGTGGGAGAAAAAACTTGTCTATTTAAGTATGTAAGATACAATAGGACATTTTAGGATTATGAAAAGAATAGGAATATGTAAAAAAAAAAAAAAAAAAGAGAACCACTGGCAGAAGAACTTAGAAAGCCCTGGAAAATTAGGTAATGTTGGAATTGGAGTGAGAAAAGACAGAAGTGATGGCTCAAACTTTGCTAGCATTTTTAACTGTGACAGGACCCTCTGTACAGAAAGACAACGTGATGAATTTTATTTTATTAACTCTGTGAATTTGCCTAAATAAACACTTAGGTTCTTCAGGTGTTTGGACTAAATAAGTTCTGATGCAAGGAAGGAAAATAGTTTTTAAACATAAGATCCATTATTTGTAGGTGCTTTTAGTAAGGACCTACACACATTTTTCAGAAGGATATAATTCATATATCATAAAGTTCATACCTTTAGAGTGTACAAGGCATGCCAAGTGTACAAGTTCGTATCTTCAAAGTGTACAAGTGGGTTTTGGCATAGTCACTGAGTTGGGCAACCACTTTCACTACCTAATTTCAGAACATTTTTACTTTCTAATAAGAAACCCACACCCATCTCAAAGCCCATACCCTTCACTGCTGTTTCACTCTCTCACTGCAAGAGTGTTGGGGATTAGTGTGTCAGCATCTAGCACAGTTCTTGGACATAGTAATCAGTGAGAAATGTAATTTGGATCTATAATCATGACATGATAATGATATACCTTTCCCTCACATTTCCACCTAAGTTTTTTTTATTAGTTCACTGTCAACTTCCTAAATGCTGTTCAGTTAAAGATGAGAAAACATAGGAAAAATAAAACATAATCCCAAGAATATATTACATTGATGTAGAGAAAACATAAATGGAAGAGTTCTTTTAATAAGCTTAAATATAATTGGAGAACATGAAAACATTTTTTATTTTACATTAAGATGTGGGATTGCTTTGATAATTCAAGTCGTGTTTACTTTAAAAACTTTTTTTCTGCTAGGTGCAATGGCACTTGCCTGTAATCCCAGAGGCTTGGGAGGCTGAGGCAGGAGGATCACAAGTTCAAGGTCAGCCTCAGCAACTTAGCGAGGCCCTGAGCAACTCAGCAAGACCCTGTCTTAAAATAAAATATAAAAGGGCTGTGGATGTGGCTCAGTGGTTAAGTGCCCCCAGATTCAATCCCTGGTACAAAAAAACAAACACAAATAAAATTTAAAAAAAAAAAAACACTTTTTTTTTTTTTTTACTCAGTTTTTCACTTAAAGTTACAAAGAAAAGCCAATGGAATCTTTGCCATGGAGTTATTATCATTACAGTAATCAGATATTTGAAAGATGATATTGGTCTGCTGTCTAAATAACAGTATCAGTTTTGCCCTTTAAATTTGATGACAGAACACTTTAAAATTATGGAGCAAAATGGTTTCTTTCATTTTGCTTCAATTTCTCCTTTTTAATAAAATGAGTTAATTATTGGCATTTTTGTTTAATAAGTCAAAATTTCACTTATAAGGTATGATGTTTATAATTCAAAATTTATTGTTATAAAAATATATTCATGAATATTAGGTAGAATTTCCCAGCATTGATCCAGAATCAAAAATAAATGATATGATATTTGAATAAAAATTTAGGAGAGACTGTAGGAATATTATGAATATATATAACAAAGTTTGATTTTTGTCCAAAGGTGATTCATGTCACATTTGTGATAGTGGTAAACATGGGCCAATCCAGTTTCTTGCTGATTTAAGGATTCTTTGAGTATCCACATGGATGATGTAAAAGGTTTAGAAAAAATTATCCAGTATATTTTAAGACCAAAAAATTTTCTTTGTGTAGCTTAAAAATCTAATTTTGTAAAGGCAAGCTTATATCCATGTCAAATTAAATTAATGCCTAAAAATATAGCTTGACAAAAACAAATAGTGCAAAGTGAATAAAGAAAATGTTATTTAAAAGCCACATTGACTATAGATTAGAGGAGAATTAAGAAGCTTATCAAAAAGTGCATGGCTTTTATGTGCATCTAAGTCAAACAAACTATTAGAAATGACATCTATGAGAGAATTAGGAATTTAAAGACTGGTTATTTTATGCTATTAAGAAACTGCTGTTAGG